GGACAGAACCTGGGAGAGAAAGACTAAGAAATCCCTGAAGAAACTGAGCCCAGATCACACAACTGCGCTCCATCCTGGCCCACAGAGTCAGACCCTGTCTCTTTGAGAAACAAAACAAAAAACCTCAAAGAAAATTAGGCCCTTGTCAGTAAAGAAAGGTCTGACACCCACTACAGGAGTAGGATCGGAAAAACTGAGGCCTTCTCCAGGGAGAGGAAGCAGTGGTTTTTAACCCTGGCTTCGCATTATAATTACCTGGGAAGCTTTAAAAATATATGCTAGGCCAGGTGTGGTGGCTTACAACTGTAATCCCAGCACTTTGGGAGGCCAAGGCGGATCACAAGGTCAGGAGTTTGAGACCAGCCTGACCAACATGGTGAAACCCCGTCTCTACTAAAAATACATAAATTAGCTGGGCATGGTGGTGCAAGCCTGTAATCCCAGCTACTGAGGAGGCTGAGGCAGGAGAATTGCTTGAACCTGGGAGGCAGAGATTGCAGTGAGCTGAGATTGTGCCACTGCACTCCAACCTGGGCAACAAAGCAAGACTCCACCTCAAAAGAAAAAAAAAAAAAAGAAAGAAATATATATACATATATAGATATGCTAATAACCAGGCCACCTAGGCCAATGAGACCTATCTTTGAAGGTGGGGCCCAAGTGACTGATTTTTCAAATGTCCAGCCAGGGTTAAGAAATACTGAAGTACAAGAAAAGCTGAAAACCCAGTTGGAATATTTAAGGCTGGTGCTGCTGAACAAGCAGGAAAGGGAAAGTTGAGAGACTATTTCAGTAAGAAGAGTGCCCAGGCTTGAGAGGAAGCCTGAGTGGCAGCTAGAGCCCTGTGTGAAGAAAAGCAATAAAGGCAATGTTGTAAGAGGAACTGCTCTAATTCTGGATAGAACATGGCCCAATTTAAGAAAGATTTACAGGGAATGGATCTGTTTGCAAAATAATGAGGCCCAAGTGAGGGGCAGAGGCCATAAGGCCAAATTTGGGGACAAAAGGTCTGGTGTGGGGAACTAATGAGCTTCAGACACAGTTCGGACAGGACAGCAACAAGTTTGGGGAAAAAATGAGGACAAGAATTAGGTCCAAATTGTAAATGAAAGCCATTTTGATGTATAAGGTGCAACTGGGATTAAAAATTGTGGGGAAGGAGGAAACTGTGGAACAGTTTCAGAGAACAGAAGCAGAAATGTGGGATATATTAATATTTGAGGGAGAGATGGGTGAGAAGGGTTGCTTTGAAGAAAGAGAGGCATGTAGAGAAAGGAAAATTGAGCAACTATCTGCACGGGGAAGGATATAGCATGCAAGTTTGGAAAACCAGGGTGCTCCGTCTTAGATGTGCAGCCTTTCTCTAATTAATGAGGGAAGACTACAGTTGGGTTTTGAGGGAGAAAACTGCAAAGGCCCAGTGTCCAGAATATGAAGCTTGGTTTGAAGGCACTGGAGGTACGGGGAGGAGCGGGGAGTTCATTGGAAGCAGGACAGCTGAGTCCTGTGATCTCATGATCCAAAGGTGGAGCTAAGAGGGGAAGAAGAAGAATGAGTTACAGCTGAGAGAAAGTGTTTAGCGGGTAAGAATGTTCCCAAGAGTGTTGGGGAAACATCACTGGGGCAATAGGATGGAGGACAGGAATCAAACCCAGTGTTTGAGAAATAAAAGGAATGATGCTGGGAGACTGGGAAAACGGGGGCTAACTGGGAGAGGGGTGTGGAGGGAGGAAGGTGGGGGAAAGATGAAGCTGAAGTATGGGGCCAGGGGGAAGGCTGGACATCTGTGTAAGGACTGCTAGGCCTGAAGAGAATGGGGGGAGGGTGATGAGTGGGGGAAACTGAGAACTTAAGAAATGGAGGCTGACTTTGGGTGGGGGGCAGTGATATAAGAAAAGTCTGGGTGGGGGGGTGCAGTTTTCATTAGGGAGGGGATTCAAAGGGAAGGGTTAAGTGACTTACAGAGGGAGTAAGAAAGATTTGGGGAAGACAAAACCATTTGGGGAATCTGGATGCGGGGGAAAGCCCAGTTTGGGGAATGGGGCACAGATCGGTGGGGATGAGGGAAAAAGGGGACCTGGTTGGAAGATTGTGTTCCGGCTTTTGGGGGCTTTAGGGGAGGAGGAGGCCCGGATGAGGGAGATGGGCTGGGCTGGGCTGGAGAGAGGGGGCTAAGGACGGAAAGAGGCCCAGTCGCAGGGCTGAGGACCGGACTGGGGTGGCCGAAGTGCTGAAGGGACCCGGCTGAGGGCGGATGGCCCCGTTGTGGGGAGACGGGGACCAGCTAGGGGGATGGGGGAGGACCTCCGGGGCAGATGAGGGAGGATGGGGGCGGGGAGCCTGGGCCGGGCCGTTACCTGTCCTGGGTGTTTATCATCCTCGGCGGCTCTGCTCAGGGTGGGAGGAGGCGGCGCAGGGAGTGGATAGGTGGATAAGTGGGTGGGTGTGGGGTCGCGCGCGCGGGGTCGATCTCTGCGGGCTAAGTCCCTGTCAGGCCGCGGGCCGAGCGCCTCCTCCTGCCTCAGCGAGCGCCTGCCTCCAACTGACCCTCCCCGGCCGCCGCCGACGCCGCCCCGCCCCCAAGTGCCTCATCTGCATAGCCCCACCCCAGCGCCGCGCGGTGTCCTGGGAAACTGGGGCCCACAACAAAGGGCAAAGCACCGCCACGCCTCCGCGCAGGCGCACCAAGGAACGATTGTGGGGGTTGGGGTAGGGGGTCCGAATGAAGGACAGGCTGTGCAAAAGGCCATGGCCAAAGCGGTGGTCCTGCCTGCGGCTGCGGCAGCGGGACCTAGAAGATGCGCTATGTTTCCGGTAGAGTTTTCTGTGACAATTGACTCAACCTGGTCCTCATCCCTATTCCTTGTTTGCATGGGGCCGAGAAGGGCTATGCCATTTAATGTAAGCCCTGGGAGTATATTAAAACAAAATTAGAAATCTAAGAGAGCTACACACATATTAGCACCATTCCCTGTCTGAGTCCAATCCCACAGATCCGTTACCTCAGCTTATAATGCAGATCAATAACCTCGGTTGTCGGCTGAGATCAACAATCTCAGCATCTGGCACACATCTCATGTCAATCGTCAAGGCTCCAAGCACTGGCTTAGGGTTTGTCATCTGAAGCCAGAGCTCTGTAGGTCATAGCACAGTTACAGCAAGACAGTCAGGGAAGGCATCATCACTAACTTGTTCACAGTCACTTCAGATCACAATCAGTGCAAGTTACTTCAATCGATCATACAGGGTTACTAGTTCAGTCACCTCCATCGATTCTGTTCACAGTCAACCCAGATTGTACTCGAGAGGTCACATTATCTCAGATCACAGTGGGTCACTTGTCACCTCAGATCACATCCATTCATTTATTCAACAAATAAGTATTTATTTATTTTTGAGATGGAGTCTCGTTCTGTTGCCCAGGCTGGAGTGCAATGATGCACTCTTGGCTCACCACAACCTCCGCCTCCCAGGTTCAAGCGACTCTCCTGCCTCAGCTTCCCTAGTAGCTGGGATTACAGGCGTGCGGCACCACGCCCAGCTAATTTTTTTGTATTTTTAGTAGAGACAGGGTTTTACCCTGTTGGTCATGCTGGTCTCTAACTCCTGACTTCATGATCCACCCGCCTCAGCCTCCCAAAGTACTGGGATGATAGACTCGAGCCACCTCACCTGGCCTATTTATTTATTTTTTGAGATGGAGTCTCACTCTGTGGCCAAGGCTGGAATGCAGTGGCGCGATCTCAGCTCACTGAAACCTCCACCTCCCAGGTTCAAGCAATTCTCCTGCCTCAGCCTCCTGAGTAGCTAGGATTATAGACGTGCAACACTACGCCACGCTAATTTTTCAATTAGCAATAATCCTGCCTCAGATAAACCTCATTGGCTACGATACTGCCACTGTGCAAAGCTATGCCCAGCTAATTTTTGTACTTTTAGTAGAGATGGGGTTTCACCATGCTGGCCAGGCTGGTCTTGAACTCCTGACCTCAGTTCATCTGCCCACCTCAGCCTCCCTGGGATTACAGGCATGAGTCACCACACCTGGCCAACAAATAATTATTGAATAACTACTTACTGGGTGCTCTAGGCACGTGCTAGAGTCCAAGAATACTGAGTGATCAACCAGGCAAGGTTCCTGCCTTGGATGTCACAATCTGGTCAAGGGGAGAGACAGGCCATCACAATACCAGGTAAGTGCTCCATGGTAGGAATGCCAAAGAGATTAAAAAAAAAAAAAAAAAAAAGGCTGGACGTGGTGGCTCACGCCTATAATCCAAGCACTTTGGAGGCCAAGGTGGGTGGATCATCTGAGGTCGGGAGTTCAAGACCAGCCTGACCAACATGGTGAAACCCTGTCTTAAAAAAAAAAAAAGGAATGCCAAAGAGAAAATAATTAGGAAATTAGGGACAGCTTTGCAGAAAGGGAGATAATTTGGAGAAAGGGTGATACTCCAGATCTGAGGTCACTGTAACTTTCAGTTCACATATGTCTCACATCAGTCATTCAGCATATGGTTACTCTACTTCATAGGCAGTAGGCTTTTGGTTTTTGGATGATGGGAATGGAGGCACAGAAGAAAGGTTGGAGCTGCGAAGCTAAGGCTTTTTCAGCACATATTAAAGTGGTAAATGATACCCATACTGCTCAGATTATCACTAGATATTCGGGCAACGCTGGTCTCATACTCTGATTCACTTTAAGATCCTCCACCTTGGCCAGGTGCGGTGGCTCACATCTGTAATCCCAACGCTTGGGGAGGCCAAGGCTGGTGGATCACCTGAGGTCAGGAGTTCAAGACCAGCCTGGCCAACATGGCAAAACCTTGTCTGTACTAAAAATACAAAAATTAGCCATGCATGGTGACAGGCGCCTGTAATCCCAGCTACTCAGGAGGCTGAGGCAGGGAGAATCGCTTGAACCTGGGAGGCAGAGGTTGTGGTGAGCCAAGGTCGTGCCATTGTACTCCAGCCTGGGCAACAGAGTGAGACTGTCTCCAAAAAAGAAAAAAACATCCTCCACCCTGTCCCTCAGCTATCCCTACTACTCTTCCGGGTTCAAGTAAGGTAGGTTCTTACGTTACTACCTAGCAGAATTGGACATTTAAACCCAGTCCTGACCTACCACATGGCATGGTCCCAGAGACCTGGGCAATCCTCCTGGCTCTCAAAGGGAGCTGGAATGTCTCACTTCTGCCAGCCCATTCCTGGACAAGTAACCCTTTGACCTGAGGGACAGTTTTTGACCCATCAATCAACAAATATTGAGAACTCACTATGTCAATAATAGCGATCATTTATTGAGCATCATGGGTAAAGCACTAAATTTTACAACAGCTCTCCACCCTCATTTTACAGAGGAAGAAAATTAAACCTCAGGGAGATTTATTCTGTCATCTACTGTTTACTGGGGGTCTGTCTATACCAGACATATTAACATGCTAGCTTTAAATCAAAGCAATTAAGTGGTGGAGTTAGAATTTGGACCCCAAGTTGCCTGATCCTGTGCTTTGTCTGGATCTGCATGGTAGAGTCAGAAGCTCACTGGACAGCTTTCTGTTTGAAGGAGTGGTCACCCTGATAGCTACCTGGCCAGCAAGTAAAAAATTCACAAAAACTGAGGTCTTTAAATCTAAATTAATTAAAATCAAATAAAGTTAAAAGTTCAATTCCTCAGTCCCACTAGCCACATTTCTTTTTCTATTTTCTTTTCTTTTCTTTTTTTTTTTTGAGACTGAGTCTCACTCTGTTGCCCAAGCTGTAGTGAAGTGGCATGATCTCAGCTCACTGCAACCTCCGCCTCCCGGGTTCAAGCGATTCTTCTGCCTCAGCCTCCCAAGTAGCTGGGATTACAGGCGCCCACCACCACACCTGGCTAATTTTGTATTTTTAGTAGGGATGGGGTTTCACCATATTGGCCAGGCTGGTCTCAACTCCTGACCTCAGGTGATGCACCCACCTCGGCCTCCCGAGGATTACGATGTGCTGGGATTACGGGCGTGAGCCACCGCACCCGGCCCACTAGCCACATTTCATATGCTTAATAGCCACATGCGGCTAGCAGCCACAGTATTACACACAGTACACATATGGCACATATCTATCATCACAGAAATTTCTATGACAGCACTATATCCCCTTCACCCCTCTATCTCTGTCTACTCCAGTCACCACCACAGGTTCAAGTCCCTTCTCATCCATTGTCACCTGCATCCTTGTCCTCACACTGGCAATCTATCACATCTTGCTCCCAGCTCCCTGCCCCAAGCCACATCCTCCCACTGTGCCCTCTGCAACGTGTGATCAGCAAACTCTTCCACATCCTCAGCCTTTTATTTTCTTTTCGAGACAAAATCTTGCTCTGTTGCCAGGCTGGAGTGCAGTGGCGCAATTTCGGCTCACTGCAACATCTACCTCCCAGGTTCAAGCGATTCTCCTGCCTCAGTCTCCCGAGTGGCTAGGACTATAGGTGTGCACCACCATGCCCAGCTAATTTTTGTATTTTTAGTAGAGACGGGGTTTCACCATGTTGGCCAGGATAGTCTCCATCTCTTGACCTCATGATCTGCCTGCTTCGGCCTCCCAAAGTGCTGGGATTACAGGCGTGAGCTGCCACCCCTGGCCATCCTCAGCTTTTTTCCACCTTGCTTGGTTTATCTGAAACTTAGCTATCCGCTAAGGATGCCGCTTCTTCAACAGCTCTCTAAGGTGAACTCTGTTTCTCATTCTCACATGCCTCAGTGTCAGGAGTGAGTAAGTGTATTCCTCTCCACCCTAATGCCATTTCGAGATCAGCGTTTAGCTTGCCCTGCCTCCCATGAAATCCCTATTCCACTGGGGCTGCACCCTCTAGATACACCATTTTTGTTAATGTCATCATTCAGCTTCTTGATTGACAGCCCTTATTTGGCTCTTGGCTTACTATGTCTCTCTCCACTGCAAATTCTGTCATAGTTGGTGAGCTCAAGGTCTACGTGATGGCCTCTCAACCACGTTCCTCTCACCTTCTGACTTTCTCATCTCTAGTGAGATTTTCAACACTCCACAGCAGCTGCTCACTCCTGTAGTCACACCGTCAACTTTGTTTTCACCAGAAATCATTTCACATCCAAAATGTCGACTCTCCAACCATAATCTTTGCCTCAATTAAGCCCCTCAACACGTCTTTGACCTTTATCAGGAGCTTCAATCTCTTGACCTCACTAATTTCTCACTATTCATTAGCCCTAGGTTTTTTGGTGTTTTTGTTTGTTTTGTTTTTTTAACAGGAAGAAACTGGTTAAGAGAGATGAGGAAGTAACTTGTCTATGGCTGAGCTGGTGGCTCATGCCTATAATCTCAACACTTTGGGAGGCCAAGGTGGCAGGATCACTTGAGCCTAGGAGTTCAAGACTAGCTGTGGGTAATGAGACCCTATAAAAATAAAAAATAAAAAAAATTTAGCCAGCATGGTGGCACATACCTGTGGTTCCTGCTACTTGGGAGGCTGTGGCAGGAGGATTGCTGAGCCTGGGAGGTCAAGGTTGCAATGAGCTGTGATTGGACCACTGCATTCTAGCCTGGGCGATAGACCAATAACCTGCCTCAACTTAAAAAACAAAAAAGAAAAAGAATAAAAAGAAAGCAAGGCCGGGCTGGTGGCTCACGCCTCTAATCCCAGCACTTTGGGAGGCCAAGGCAGGTGGATCACAAGGGCAGGAGATTGAAACCATCCTGGCCAACATGGTGAAACTCCATCTCTACTAAAACACAAAAAACTAGCCAGGTGTGATGGTGTGTGCCTGTAGTCTCAGCTACTTGGGAGGCTGAGGCAGGGGAATTGCTTGAACCTGGGAGGCAGAGGTTGCAGTGAGCTGAGATTGTGCCACTGCACTCCAGCCTGGCGACAGAGCAAGACTCCCTTTCAAAAA